GAATGGATAATTCCTTCGCTGTTTAGCGCTGTAATGCTATTGTTCTCCGTCGCATCTGACTGCTTGAGCAGTGACGTAACTTGTACTTCTCGACGTCAGAGTTGCTTAAGCGAAGGATTTGCAATATGTTTGGGAAAAAATTTCCATGATTTACACAGCAAAACATATCAAAACAACTAACAAAAGCTTTAAATCGTGTTTGTTTAAACTCTACGGAAAAAAGACGCATGTTTCACCAATATAATTACGGTCTACTAATGTGCGGTTAAATCTGGGCTTACTTTTTGTCTGGTTGCCTCACAATACAAAAGCAATAAATTTTGATTACACACAAAATAGCCGATATCCCGAGCGTGTATGTCTGCCGCGAAGGAACGCCCATGAGCCTGAAGAGCGAGGTACATTTTCGTCATTAATAGCTGGATAAGAGCCCGCTGTAGCTTAACCTATGATACATCCTACTATTTCTTCCGTTCTATAAAATGGCGTTGTCCATTTCCCTCTATCACCGCGCGTCACACAAACGGATAACCTCATTCCTACATAATTTTCAATTTTACCTAAAATTTGCGGTGCTGCTCACATCGGGCAGGAACGGTTGCGCAGCATGGACACGGGCGTCCTCCATGGAGCCGCCGCTCTTTCAGTTATTGCTGTCGCACGCTACATTTAACATTAGTTTATCGATGGGAATAATGCTAGAGCCCCCTTCTATGCGCAAATCGAGACAAATCACACTCCCAAAAGGTTTGTGCACTCGTTGCGAGTCTTTTTTCCGTCACCCGCGCTCATTTAGCGCCCTGCTCATTATTGTTGAGATTGAGATTGAGACCCGCCCATCAGAAGTTTTTCCGTGACATGCCCGCAACGTCATCCTGGTCCCCATTCGTTATGGCAATTTGATTGCGCGCGGTTATTGTACACCGATTCAAAGGCGATGTATGCAACAGACAAAAGAAATTAACGTTTAATATTTATCATTAATATTGCGTTTGTTAATAATCTGCCTGCGTTTATTGTAAAATAAGACAAAGAAATTAGTTGCACTCTATAAATATTTGAGTATATATATATTCGTGCAATATGCAATGTGTGTAATATGCCGGTTCTCGTTATAATCTATTTAAATCTTACTAACCTTCTATTGCCGTACCTCCGTATACTTAGTCAAATATTGTTGATGTTGTAGTTTTTCTGCAGAAAAATGCAAATAGCGATTTATCAACATTTCAGCCGGCTATATATTTTCAACATTTCACACCCAAACCCTTCTCACACAGTTGACAGACAGACACTGAACGTTTTTTTTGTCCGGTGCACACTTTCCGAAAATAGCGAGTTCTGATTGGTCAAGAAATACTGACGTCATTTTCCTCAGTTTTCATTGGCCAGGATTTGTCGCCGTTTATCATACAGTATAATCGCTACCTTGCCAGTAATTGCTAGTTAAGCATGGTGTTCCTGTCTTACTCTTTGACACACGATTCATTTAATATCGCCGATTCTTAATTCTTTACTCTACCACTATACATACCTGTTCCACACACGGTGTCTCGTGATTGGTTAATAGTATTTCCTGTAATACTATTGGCTTTCGTGACAATGTCACGCGCATGTAGTGTCGAATAAATATTTCAAAATGTTTCGTTCGCAATTCAGGCGATAACATTTTTGTTTTTGAAAATCCCGCGCATTTCTTCAGGCCCCTTTTGCTCGTAATATGGGTGAGGCACATCGGTTTGCGCAGAACAAGAAATTTACTTGTTATTGTAAATACTCAATATTATGTGAGTATTACTGGTCTATTGTCATATATATTGATACAGACACAAAATCTGCTTCGTGTACCGTTATGTGGGCATTATCTACGCACGAATCTCGGTGATTAGAATAATTGTACAAAAATGAAACGGCATCATTGTTTTGTTACAAAAGACAGGAAAGGATATCGGATGGCGATTTTTAAAATATTGAGATAGTACTTCATAACGGGCTCACGGACACTTATGTGTCCAATAACTTCGTTAGTTTTGAGCTGCGACGGAAAGTACATAGAAGAAAAGTTTTCTTAGAATCACTCGCTTTATCATTTGCATATGTTATTTTTCGTCTAAAAGGCGGCTGGCAGAATTTTGACCAATACCGAAAATGTAGACATAGACAAGTAACAAGTGCGTAGAGCCGCCATTTTTTCTATTTAGCGGTAAATATAAGGCCTGCGCATCTTAAACTATGTTCTATCCGACTCTATTTTTTCCGCTCTATAAGATGGCGGTGTCCATTTATGTCTATCTACGCGCATTGGTCTCTGTAACCTCTACTGTGTTATTTAACCCCGCATTGTCCCTGGAACCTTCCATGCCCTCCCCTGCTATCGGAGCCAAGTTTGACGCTAACGGGGTGTTTCCGCGAATAAAAAAAACTATATATTTGCAATGTGGACAGCGAGAGGAATCCAACGATACCAAAATCGTCGATATCGGAGCGACGGAGGTAATATAGTGTGTGTCCGTGCGTCCATACCATAGAGATTAACCCTAAATTTTTAAGCTCGGTAGGTTGGCATCGTTAGCTTTTCGCCGGCTGTGTGTCGCTCTTGGTAACTTTGGTGATACACGTGTACGCCCGGTTTGTTAGAATTGTGCAAGGCCCGACCCAAAGAATATTCTTATACTTGACATCCATAAATAAAGATATAATTGCACATTCATCACTCTAAACATGTATATCAACCGGGCAAATAGATAGTTAAATGTATATCTATCAGATGTGTAGATAGATAGGCCTTTATTTCTGCGTCTGTATTTATGAAAATTCGTTGGGTCGGGCCTGGCACAATTTTAACAGACTGGCCATAGACCTGAATTTAGATCTCTCTCTCGCTATGGGAATGAAGATCCTGTAGTCCCGATGAATATAGAATCGAAACTGGTCCAATACAGCGCTCGCAACGTGGAGATACTCATCCTCGTTCCAACCTCTTCGGGAAAATGAAATCCAGTTCCTCCGTGCATCGTGTTATCGGGTTTTGCACTTATTTCCAGTTTTTTTCTATCCAGTATATATATCCATCTATCTCTGTATATAAATGTCTATTTATACATGTATATCTACCCACATGTATACATATTTATATATCTGTATGTGTATCTATCTATATATATATATATATATATATCCATATATCTATCCAGAATATTTTGGGAGTAATGAAAGGAGCCGAATTACTGGCGCATCAAAATTATTTATCAACTAAAGATGAGAGAGATGATCAAGGCAGTTTTGTAGATAAAAACATTAGTATTAAAGGCACTAAAGTCGACATCATATTACCATTGGCATTTTAAGTACTGTTAATAGTATTATTATGATTACTATTGTCATTGTTATCGTTATGGATGTTAGTCGTTATGATGGTTAGTGTCGTCTTTATCAGTATTATTGATTTTCGTAATTACATTAATATTGATATATATGCGCTCATTAATATGCTTATCATCCACGATCATTTTACTATGACTATCAATATTATTATTGTTTTACTGTTGTCATTATCTTCATAAATATCATGTTTTTAACTATCATGATCAATTATTTAAACAGCATTATGATAATATTTATTTTTCTCTCTTTTTACGATTACCATCATTATTATCTGTTGATATCAATTATCCTCAGATCATAATTAACATATTTGTCAATTTTAATGAAGAATTTTATTATCAAAGTCAGTTATCGGTTATAACTATGAACTGCCATAATTACTGCCGTCTTTATCAGTGGAATCCTGTGTTATGATCATGATTATCGCTGTTTTTATCAGTGGAATTGTATTTTTATAATTATGATCTGTCTAATGTTATTACGGTAATAGCATTGCGTCTTTATCAGTGGAATCCTGTGTTATTACGGTAATTAGCATTGCCGTCTTTATCAGTGGAATCGTATGTTTATGATCATGATTATCGCTGTTTTTATCAGTGGAATCTTGTTATTATAATCCTTATTATGATCATAATTATTGCCGTCTTTATCAATGAAAGCGTGCGTTAATATGATCATAATTATTGCCGTCTTTATCAATGGAATCGTGTGTTATTGATCCTTATTATGATCATAATTATTGCCGTCTTTATCAATGAAAGCGTGCGTTAATATGATCATGATTATTGCTCTTTTTTCAATGGAATTGTGTGTTTTTATAATTATGATCATCATAAATATTGCCGTCTGTCAGTGGAATCGTATGTTTATGATCATTATTGTTGTTGTCTTTATCAATGGAATCGTATGTTTATGATCGTTATAATGATCATAATTATTGCCGTCTTTATCAATGAAAGCGTGCGTTAATATGATCATGATTATTGCTCTTTTTTCAGTGGAATTGTGTGTTTTTATAATTATGATCATCATAAATATTGCCGTCTGTCAGTGAATCGTATGTTTATGATCGTTATTGTTGTTGTCTTTATCAATGGAATCGTATGTTTATGATCGTTATAATGATCATAATTATTGCCGTCTTTATCAGTGAAAGCGTGCGTTAATTTGATCATGATTATTGCTGTTTTTATTAAAAGAATCGTGTTATCATCCTTATTATGATCATAAATATTGCCATCGTTATCAGTGGAATCGTGTTATTATGATCCTTATTATGATCATAATTATTGCCTTCTTTATCAGTTAAAGCGTGTGTTAATATGAACATGATTATTGTTGATTTTATTAATGGAGTCATGTGTTATTTCCGTCTTTATCGATGGAATCGTGGGTTATGATTATTATTGCCGTCTTATGATCCTTATTATGATCATGATCACTGCCGTCTGTATCAATGGAATCTTGTGTTAATATGATCATGATTATGATCATAATTATTACCGTCTTTATCAATGGAATCGTGTTATGATCCTTATTATGATCATAATTATCGCTGTCTTTATCAGTGGAATCCTGTGTTATGATCATTATTATTGTTATTGTTATTCTCTTTTCCAAGCACCAGGAAAATGGCAGAAGGAAAGAGGTAAAACAGGGAGATAAAATGCCGCTGTTTCTTGAGTTTTCACTTTCGTATTTTTTAGTTTTTCTGTTTTTTGTTTCGTTTTCTTTATTTTCTATCTTTTTCTTTTCCCCCTTATAGTTATATATTTTTCCCTCTCTTTTCTGGTATATATTTTAGATTATTTATTTAGTTTTGGTTGTTTATTGACTAAATTTATGTATATATTTAAAATTTTTACTTTTCAATCATACCACCTCTCTCTCTCTTCTCTCTCTTTCTCTCTCTCTTTCTCTCTCTTTCTCTCTCTTCTCTCTCTCTCTCTCTCTCTCTCTCTCTCTCTCTCTCTCTCTCTCTCTCTCTCTCTCTCTTTCTCTCTCTCTCTCTCTCTCTCTCTCTCTCCTCTCTCTCTCTCCTCTTTCTCTTCTCTTCTCTTTCTCTTTTCTTTTCTCCTTCTCTCTCTCTCTCTCTCTCTCTCTCTCTCTCTCTCCTCTCTCTCTCTTCTCTCTCTCTCCTTCTCCTCTCTTCTCTCTCTCTCTCTCTCTCTCTCCTCTCTCTCTCTCTCTCTCTCTCCTCTCTCTCTCTCTCTCTCTCTCTCTCTCTCCTCTCTTCTCTCTCTCTCTCTCTCGTCTCGCCTCTCCTCTCTCTCTCCTCTCTCTCTCTCTCACATCATTGTCGTCTCTCTGCGTCATTTTATATTGTTCAGTGTCAACCAATTTGATTTATTTAATCCCTTCAACCCCCCACCCCCACCCCCTCCATATTCATCTCTCCGCAGAATTAGTCCCGTTTGTTTTTGTTAGTGTGATTCATGATTTTGCAGGATATGCGTATTTTCTTGTAGCTGAGCCAGACTGGAACGTGTTTCTAATTTCACCGTTGTTGTTTATTGGAGAACGAAGGTGTCGATGTGCCTGTTTACTGCGCGGTGTGGGTTGACCCAAGCCCTATGAGATTGTGCCATCGTTGACAATCTATTTTAATAGTGTACAAACAATTTATGAATAATGCAAATTAGTTTATTATATTTATTATAAATAGATTAAGTAATTAGTTTATTACAAATATTAAAATTAGTGTGAATTAGTTATTACATAATGAAAAATATTAGTTGTCTAGCTATGAACCGTGCATCTTTGGACAAATTGGAAATTTATCCGCACAAGTTGTGACTTCAGAAAATAACTTGGCCCCCAAAAGTAATGTTTCCAGTCTGGTATCGGTGTGAGCTATGAGTTGGCATGAGCCGTGTCGGCCCTAAGACACCTCATGCCAAACCCTAGACTTGACTCAATTCATTGTTCCATCGACTGGATTCCACTCCACAAACTAGCTCTCGCATCCCCCCCCCCCCCTCAAAGCACCCAACTCAACCCTTCCAAGACCCCGATGAAAGCCGCAAACCCTCCGAATGAATCCATTTCCATTAATTAACTTTTATCCACTGACTTAAACCATCCATTCCTGTTAGAATCCAGCGGCCATTTTGCTTGAAATAATCTATTGAGTCGAGCATCTCCCTAATCCCACTCCTCAGTCGAACCCCTAGAGAAGGGCTGTCAAACCCATCTACACCAGGGGGGCCACACTTCTCCTTAGTATATAGTATGCGGGCGAGGTAATCATGAATTGACGCGACGAAATGTGGACAACAGAAAAATATAGGAGGCTACTTCGATCATTATGAAAGCACAGTAGTAGAAAAAAAAATCTAAGAGTGTGATATACAAGCATTTATAAGGATTGGCTTAATTATCTAAAATGCCTGAATATAAGAAAGCAAAATAATGGAAAAAAATGTAAGTGTAAGTTATATATAAGTATATATTAGGATTGGCTTAAGTATCCAAAACAGCTGATTGGAAGACTAAAAGAGCAGAATGTGCTGAAGAGACTCGTCCCATACCTTTAAGTAGTACCGAGTAGTCCCGAGCTATTTCATTCCATTTCGCAAAATTCCTCCCTGTCACAGCACCACGAGAGTCGTCCTAGACCCTAGAGTAGTCCAAGGCCATTTTATTCCATTTCGCTAACTTCCTCCCCGTCACAGCACCGCAAAAGTCATCCTAGACCATAGAGTAGTCACCATCTCTTATTCCAACGACTCGATTCCGTTCCGCCGACTGACTCCACTTCTCGCCTCTCTCCCCCACCCCACAGCACCCAGCTCAACCCCCTCGAGGCACTGACAAAGGCTTTCAAGCAGACGACCGAAGAAGGCAAGATGAGCGGCCGCGCCATGAAGTACCCGTACACCCTCTCCGCCAAGATCGCGCAGTTCCCCTTCTCGTACTACGTGAAGAACCAGTGGGTTTTCAAGTACTACCTTCTCGGGGTCGCCGTCTCCATCCCCGTCTTCAGCTGGTTCCAGAAGCAAGGTGAGCGTTTGCCGTCGTCGTCGTTTTTTGTGAAATGTAGAGAAATGAAAGGATAATGATAGAAATTAAATAAATGCGAATGTGAGAAGAGGAAAGATTGATGATGATAATCAT